CATATTAAAACGCTCGGACCGAACGTTTTGATTAGACGAACATTTCTTGATCCTACACCTTCCACAGAATATATAAATACAGACAAATACATTTAGACCACTTAACTTAATGATTGCTATCGGGATGTGAAGAAACTTTCAACCAGAATAACAAAAAATGTTTCTGAAGACATTCACCTATTGCGCCTTTAAATACAGTAATTCTGTGTATACAGTATGTGTATGTATTGGAACGCGTGCTGGCCGAAGCGCCGTTATCGACATTTTTCACTTTTTTTGTCTGTAGCTCAAAATGAGCCTGTGCGTGTTCTGATTCATTTTGCCAGCACAGGTCACATATGCTTAAAGTCAAACCATTTTCTACATCACAGACATTTGACCAATCCCGTCAACTTGCGGGACAGGGCTTTTCATCCACTGGTTTTAGATTTCTATTTACAACGAGTTTTTTTTTTTTTCAGCGTTAAGCACCACAAGAAGGAGCCGGCGAGCTTTGCAAGCAGAGGAATGCACATACATGTGTCGTGGTACAGTCATGAAAGAGTGTCGAAGACTGACACAGAAGAGAAGAAATTGTTGAATAAACTCTTTATTTTTGTTTTCTTTGCAGACAAAAAAAAAGCATTCTCGTGGCTTCATAAAATTATGGTTGAGCCACTGAAATGTCACATGGACTATTTTAACGATGTCTTTACTACCTTTCTGGGCCTTTAACTTGGTAGTTGCGTTGCTGTCTATGTAGGGTCAGAGAGCTCTCTGATTTCATCAAAAATATCTTAATTTGTGTTCCGAAGATGAGCAAAGGTCATACGGGTTTTAGATGACATGAGGGTGCGTAATTAATGACAGACTTTTCATTTTTGGGTGAACTATCTCTTTAATAAGAGACTCCACATATACTGAATGAGGTAATGGTATAGAGTATCATTCAAGCCATTTTAAGACATAAAGAAATCACTTTCATGGGGAAAAATGTTTAAATATGTCATTTTGATCACCAAAGATGAGTTTTAAGTAATAACATTAGTGACTGCAGGCAGACTTTAACAGTCACTACAGCAATGGATCCCTCCATCTCCATGTTTAAAGTTTATGGCACGGACACTTGGGTATCACAAAGTAAATAGAGATTTCATGTTGACTTTTAGTTTAAGGCCAATCTATTTAAATAACTCTGCTTTTCTCTTCTCTGATTTACAACTCAACAAGCATGACATCAGGCTGCAAAGACTCAACATTTCAACAGACGTTCAGCAACGTCAGTCATGGAGCGAAAAGGAAACGTGAGCAGATTGAAACTTCCACATACAGTCTGTTTCCAGTTAACCACGTGTGGACTTAAGGAAGAAGTCGGGGAAGCTTTACTTTTAAAATGGTGCATCTCTGGCACTCTTGGATGCCTCATGTCCCACAAACACAGAGCTTAAAAGCAGTGATGCAAAGCAGATTTACAGCAGAAAATCTGCACAGAACAACTGCATAACAAGGGACGTGAACAAGTGTACAGAGCCTTTCATCTGGTTTTGGCAGCAAACACAGCTCTTCTTTACGTCTTTCTGACTCTCACTCTTTATTTCCTTCTGATTTAGTGATCTGATATACTCATCTGTGATGTGACTTTCTGAGTAATGCAGAAGCCAAAGTGCAGTTTAACTACGTGCATTATTATCTTTCGCCCTCCACCGCATGCAGCCGTGCCGCTGCCAGACCCTCTGCAGACTGTAGCTTTATCTAACGCTGCACAGAGGTTCCCTCTCAAACCTGAGGGGCTTCTGGAATGTTACCACTGGGGATTCTTTAATACTGAGGATTTTTTCTTCCTTTAAAGAAGGCAACCAACAGATGCAGGAAGTCCACAAATTCTTGTTTGTCACTGAGTAATCCTGTTACCAGCCCTGTGAATATGAAACGGTGTAAACATGAAAATAAACACTTCCTTTTTTGCTTCTTTTTAAAAAAAAATTTTTTCTGGAGGGGTGAGCATGTACAAGAAGGCCTCGCTTTTTTGGGTTACAGACATGTTGTGACAACTGCATCAGATAGCATGATGTTTGCTTTTGCTTTTATTTCCACCATAATGCTGCTAAATACTTTCTAAATGGTTGCTATGGTGGTTACTTGGTGGTCCAGGTCAAAATAGCCCAATCTCAAGTTCTATTGAGGAGTCATTCATGTTCGCAAATGCTGTCAGATGAATTATAATATTTCTTTAATATGGTATGTTTATTTTTTATTTATTTATTAAATTTTTGTTAAAAATATTAATGCTTAACTTAGCAAGCACTTCTAACTGCAATATTTTTCATATTTCTTTCATAGCTAGGTGACTGTATGGTAACTGGTGTTTTAATTTGCAGTACAGTGATCATAGTGGACAATCCAGATGGTGTCATTTTAAAAACAATGACATTTATTGTCATTTATTGCCATTACAGCATTTATTGTCAAGAGCTTTGAGTCCATTTCTTTTAACAATGCAGTATGTAATATTGCCAGCTAGTGGTCAACCACTAGCAATAGGTACTGCAGTCAAAAAAAAAAAAAATGGCCAGCTCCTCCTCAGACTTGACACTCGTGCGAGTTGCCAGATTGATGGCACGCAACAAGAACGAGCACTGGAAAGCGACAAGCCTTGTGCCCAATTCTGACCCCCGCCAGATTACTACCCCCCTAGTATTGGTAGGTTTAGGGGTAGGCGTGGGGGAGGGGTTAGGATTAGGGGTGGGGTTAGGATTAGGCAATCAGATAGCCTAGCAATTTCAACGAGAGGGGGTAATAATTTGGCAGGGGTCGAAAATGGGCACAACACCGGCACAAACCAAGCCGACTTCAAACAGCTAGCGGCGACGAAACCCGACAGTGTTGTTACCTCGTGTTGGCAGCGTCCGGACCAAAAAGTTGCGCTTGCCTTGAACACACCACTCAGAATACAGCCGACTGCAAACTAACACGTACGTTCTGCGCCTGCGTGAGAGGAATTAGCTGTCTATATCAGCAGCTGTCAATAGTATATATTCGTCATTCAAAGGAGAAATGAAACAAGGATATATGAGAGATACGCAGATATACGAAACTTAAACAAAGCAGCGTTTGCTTACCATTTTGAATAGGCCTATCAGTTGTGTTGATAACTTTCGTCATGTTAAGCAGCTCATGTTGATATGAAAATAGTCGCATATTGGAATGCTTGGGAAAGATCACGTAACGTTAAAACAGCCTTCTGTCTGTGCCGCCTCATTTACTTGCTCGTTTTCATCACTTACGCTTTAATTGTCAAGCACTGACTCGTTCGCTGAACTGAACATCTAATCTGAGTTCTCACTTGCTCCGATGGCCCTGACACCGATTCAACATGTTGAATCTAGCAAACTGCCATCTAATTGAGCCCAACAAGAGCCGACGTGTGGAATACACCAAAAAAACTAACCCAACAGACACTCGCTGATGGTCAATGACCAACTGTCTGCTTGGTGTCCTGGCCTTTACAAGTAGGCCTAAGTTGATTAGTTCATTTATCCACATTTTAATATGTCATCACATAGCTTTTTAGATGGATGCCGATGTTTATTTGATCGGGTAGAATCTGTGATCTCTTAAACTGCACTACTGGAGTTTTAGGCCAATTTATCCCGTTTTCCCCTCTTGAGAATCTGAGAATCGGTTCTGATGATCGGCATGGATTATCTGGTAATGTGAGGCTTTTACAGATCGAATCTAGCACCTCCCAGTCTGCTCACACACAAAATGGGGACTACCCGATCATACCAAACATGTTTGATATTTAGGATTTCCTATCAGATTGATCACAATTACATCAGTACTTTCACAATAGCCAATGCGCAACCCCCAAACAAGCTGCTGTACGGGTTTGTTGGATAGTGGAGATGGAGAAAACTGCTTGTGTACGTTTTTCAATAACACAACTGTCTGTATAAAATGTGTTGAAAATGTACCACAACCATAAGGACAAAGAGAAGCGCTGGGGTGAAATCCCTGAGTGAAAGGTGAGTGTGGAGAGCTGTTAGCATGCTAGCTAACATATGTAAACTTTAGTTGTTGAAACGTCAATGATTATCTGCTGCGTAAGATCATGTGAGGAGCTTCCTCTGGCTTGATAATTCCATGATAAATTCCTCTGGCAGATTTCATAATCAGTTCCTAGTGTGAGCCCAGCTCTACTCCAGTTCATTGTTTCCATGGCTGCAATATGCTGTGTTTTCCACCAACTGGCAACCTGGGGTGTCGAAATCTGAAGGAGAAATTAGCAATGGGTGAAATCACACAGACCAAAACAAAAACAGACATTCCGACACGGAACACACATTTCGAAGTGGAATAACTGGCTGTAGCATACTTGAAACGAGTATGTGAACTTAGCATGTTTCCTAAACATCTGCAAATGTATTATTGTATTTTTATGCTTTAGTACAGTCAAAAAATTACATACAGTACCTATAAATCATACAAAATCAGAAAAGAAAGTGCATTGCATTAAAGTGGTATCACACTTGCACGTCGGTCCCATGCATATGTTAATATGCCTTTCCCACACACACACATATGACATGATTTCAAATGCATTCGCCGCTTCCAGGCCATTTGGGTGCACAGAGATACGTGCGCGGCCTGTAGACTGTAATATTCCCGGTGGGATTTAAAGGTTCCACTCTCCTTTTGCTTTCATTAGATCATAATAACACACAGGGCCTATCTTCAAACACAGCATGCTGATGACATGCAGACCTGAAGCAGGGCCCTATGGGGGCCACCGCTCTGAGGAGGGTGTAACAAATACGGCAGGATTATTAGAGTGTCGTGCAGCTGACGGTGGTGCCCACCAGCTGGGCCGATCCTCTCAGCTTATCTTCAGAAACCTGGCCCCTCAGGTTCAATCAGCTTGAGGTGTCGAATATGCCAGGGCTTTTGCTTGAGCACCTATTTAACTGTTTAATGATTTTCTATTGATTTTTAGGGGCATAGAGAGTGGGATAATCCACGGCTACGGGGAGAACATGCTACTAATTGTACAAGAGTACATATCTATAAATCGCCAGGAATATTTCTGCAATTTATCGCTGCATAAATAAAATCCTTATTAAGGCTATGGGAGAAATCCACAGAGGAGAAAAATGTAAATCTAAATCTAAATAAAGACTAAATTATCTGAGCTATATTATCAACATCAATTAATGATGTATGCTGAAAAATTACATAATATTATGAATTGCTGAATTCAAAAATATAAATAAAAACTTTGCATCACAGTATTATTTTTTTCATAAAATAAGAATGAGATAAAATAATAAATAAGAAAGATTTTTCAAATTATATGTGTATTACAGTTTTTCTCGATTGCTAACACACTATAACTGATTCATTTGGCCCAATTTTCCAAACCATTCATACAGTTCTCGAAACAAAGACACGTTTCTCAAAACTTTTAACACATTTCACCTGTTTGCACACACATTCCAATTTGCTCAGTGTTTTCTGCAAAACTCTACACAAAAACGCCATCATTTTGCACAGGTTTAACCATGTTCTCATTCAGAAAACACAAACACACAATATAATTAACTCAAGCATCAAAGAATGAACTCAAACAGCACACATTTATCCATGTGTGAACATTACAGTTTTTCCCGATTGCTAACACACAATTCATGAAACAATTCACCATTTTCTCACAACTATAAACACAATCTCAAAACTATACACCAACTTGCACAAACCTCAAACTTCCAGGTCAAAACCAAATATTCTAGTCAAAAACATATTCCCGTCAGTCAAAATCAAACTTTGAACCAGTGAGATCAATTCAAAACACTGTTACTAAAACCTCCTTTTGGGAAATAGGAACCATTTTGCTAGTCAATGACTGTTACAGTATACGACATAAATAGAGGGGTGCAGATACAGTAAAATTCAGCATTAAACTGTAAGAAAAGTTTACTTTCATTACACTACTGTAAAGAAATCTTACTACAGTAGATGACAAGCACTAGAAGAGAAAATTTCAAAAACCAAACAACAGAATATACAGTAAACACACATTGGAATATACTGTCAGTTACTTTACAGAAATAAATAAATAATTAAATTCATTCATTCATTCATTCAGCATCCTCTGCCACGGTAGCACTTGAGGGTGCTTTTAGCCTGTGTATAGAGACGCTAAAAGGTTAGAAATTAAATTTAGCATTTATGTACATTAAAAAACAAGCTGTAGGCTATATCATTTTTACGATTTTTAATGAAATAAGAATTTTGAATAATGAAAATGAGTTTGTGTCTGCTTCTATTACAGTTTTTCTTGATTGCTAACACACAATTCATGAAACAATTCACCATTTTCTCACAACTATAAACACAATCTCAAAACTATACACCAACTTGCACAAACCTCAAACTTCCAGGTCAAAACCAAATATTCTAGTCAAAAACATATTCCCGTCAGTCAAAATCAAACTTTGAACCAGTGAGATCAATTCAAAACACTGTTACTAAAACCTCCTTTTGGGAAATAGGAACCATTTTGCTAGTCAATGACTGTTACAGTATACGACATAAATAGAGGGGTGCAGATACAGTAAAATTCAGCATTAAACTGTAAGAAAAGTTTACTTTCATTACACTACTGTAAAGAAATCTTACTACAGTAGATGACAAGCACTAGAAGAGAAAATTTCAAAAACCAAACAACAGAATATACAGTAAACACACATTGGAATATACTGTCAGTTACTGTAAATAAATAAATAAATTCATGCATTCATTCATTCTTTCTTTCAGCATCCTCTGCCAAATTGCATTACATTATTGGTAGTATCCTTATTTGTTAGAGGAGTTTCTTAGTCTTCTGACAAAAGACTACTCTGCCTCCCCTAGACAGTCGTCTCTCAGTTCTGCACAAATACAGTACATGTAAGGACTACTTGGCTACAAATCAATTCAACAGTAATGAGTTTGAGGGTGTACAACATGTACTACAGTATTTACTGTACATAGAATAATGAACGTTCTCTCATCTGAAGTACTGCTACTATGTACTGTAATTATATTGTATGTGTAAGTAGTATTGAAACCTTGTAGATGAGCCTGTAGGCCAACTTCCCTCATGGTCAGTCCATGCAGAAGAACATTCTCAACCATAGTGATTTGTATTTCATCAGGAACAAATGACCTTTGACCTCATCCCCTTCATTTTTATTTTCCCCTCCAATTCCTCTGTCTCCCCCTACCAGGATTCATTTTCCAAAACACATAATCAGCTGTGCTCTTGTTCATATCATCCTGAGATTCTATCAGTTTTGCTACTTACAGTTTTTCTCGATTGCTAACACACTGTAACTGATTCATTTGGCCCAATTTTCCAAACCATTCATACAGTTCTCGAAACAAAGACACGTTTCTCAAAACTTTTAACACATTTCACCTGTTTGCACACACATTCCAATTTGCTCAGTGTTTTCTGCAAAACTCTACACAAATACGCCATCATTTTGCACAGGTTTAACCATGTTCTCATTCAGAAAACACAAACACACAATTTAATTAACTCAAGCATTAAAAGAATGAACTCAAACAGCATACATTTATCCATGTGTGAACATTAAGTAGCAAAACTGATGACAGAGCTTCAGCTAAATATGAG